CAAACAAATTGTCTCTTTGGCCTCAGAATGTTGATCCTCTGATTCTCCCAAAGTCACCAGAGGCTGAAGGAGTGTGAGCTGAACACTACATATTGATTCTTTCTTCACACATAATTATCAACTTATGCAGCAAAGCAACTATCCTATCACCCCAGCTAAGCTTTAACATGGCCACTATGATCACTGTGTACTTCAGAATCACTGTTATTATTGTTATTTATAGATTATTATACTGTAAGAGATGATTAAGGCAGTGACCAGTTGGATGACGGGGACTAATTAGTATATTTATGTGCTTAAAGTCAGTAAGGTCGACACAGTGTTGTGGTATTTTTGGTACTGACCCTTCTCTCTGGTGAGGTCTCACTTTATCTTATAAAGGTTCAAGCCTGGTGATGCCGTTCAGAGCACAATGACCTAACTGTGTTCTGTTTGTCTTGTGTTCTCGCGCTGTGAAGGCTTTCAAGGGCAGCCTGTCTGCTTGTTGACAGTGCAGGACGTCACCATGTGTCTTTACATCCAGAGGGGTATAATGAAAACTCTTTACTCTACACAGTAATATAATAATATAACCTGAAGTGTTGACAGAACACCTAGTGCCCCTCTAGTTGTTGCTCATCATAATCATTCATATGGTCAGCACCATAATTACAAAGAATCAAAGAATCCTCCTCACTCGACGGCTCATTTATTCATTTTTTTAATTCACTCACATATTTAAATTAGTACCTTTAACTTTATTTTTTTCTTAAAAAGCCACGTGTTTAAATATTCATTCTTTCTTTCTTCCCCTTTTATCACTCCAAACATAACATTTATTCACAGGCTTTGTGTCAGCTACTAATCTGCATATCTGTGTAATCTATCCCTTTGTTGTCTTTCTCTTTGATTTGTCTTCCTGCAAAGCACTTAGCGTGCATTTTAAATAAACTCTCGCACGCAAATAATAGGCCGAGCCGGGCACTCATCATTTTGTACTCGTCATAGAGCAGGAAATACAGACTGCAAGAACTATATTTGAATTCGCTGAAATATAAATAAGCGTGACATACTCAGAAAGAGCTCACGCGTTCAACGCCTGATGACTTCAGGGGCCGTTCAGAGAGCTGACTTACGTGTACCAGGGGCATTCAGATACAGGGTCCTTGAGGTTGGCACCTGTGAGTCCAGAGCAAGGCATAAAGTGGATGTCCTTCTTAGGGTTGAAGCCCACCTTCTTTAGAAATGGCACCAGCTTCTCCTTACACTCCTCATACCTGCGAGAAGAAAACAAAAAAATTATTAAAATATTTCTTAACATTGTGTTTGACATAAATATCACACTGGAATCATTAATGAACAAATAAAACAAATAAAATCAGTCACTTAACCACAACTGGTGATGCTTTAAAGCCCAAAATCACTACTAACACTTTCCTGGAGATACTGCATGTTTTTCTTTTTTAAATAAAGTCCAAAATAAACATTCAAATTCCCAAATTATCCATTTTAAATCACCTTTCTAGGCTCCAGTTGACAGTGGGGTCATCCATCTTGTTGATGAGGACAATGAGATGTTTAACTCCTGCCGTTTTAGCCAGCATGGCATGCTCCCGCGTCTGCCCACCCTTTTCGAATCCCGTCTCAAACTCGCCCTTTCTTGCCGAAATCACCTGGCAAAAACCAATAAGGCAAGAGAGAAATATTTAGAGAGCGCCTTTTATATTAAATCAACCCGTGAAAGAACCGGGTGATATGTTTCTGAGGTTCAGGGATAAAGATCTGTCTCACCAGGACTGCTAGGTCAGCTTGTGACGCCCCACCGATCATGTTGGGGACAAAGCTCTTGTGTCCGGGGGCATCGAGGATGGTGAAGTGTTTTTTCTCCGTCTCGAAGTAAGCTCTTCCAACCTCGACCGTCTTCCCTTTGTCTCTCTCCTCCTGATTTGTGTCCAGAGCCCACGACAGGTACCTGCAACAACCGCGCTCGTGCATTCATTTATGTTTTACAAAAAGGTGCGTACGGCACAAAGAAGGTAAATGCCGTCAAAACACGACGCCCCTCACCATGTCTCCCTGTTTTTTTCTTTCGCTTCTCTTTCATATTTCTCCAGGGTTCGTTTGTCCACCATTCCAGTTAAGTACCTTTCAATGAGGGCACAAAGGGAGGAAACGTTAACAAAACGTGCAGCCCAGTGCACGTCCGAGACAGCCACAGGCTTCGGCTGTTGTAACAGATGATTCAACTCTGTGTTTTTATTCTCCTGTATCGCTAGTTGAGCTAAAAACAACTCCATAAAGAAACGAATCAAAAACAACACAAAACATTTAAAAATTAATGGATCACTCACATGATCTGTCCTCCGATCGTCGATTTCCCGGCATCTGGCAAGTACAACCAATTTTTTAGTGAACATAACTTTGCATAAACAGCCTTAGATGAAACACAACCGAATGCAACGCACCAACATGACCAATGAAGACCACGTTAACGTGTTCTTTCTTAGGGGCGTCTGGTGGCGCCGGAGCCACTTTGGGCAGGGGCATCTCCTCCTCTTCCTCCTCCATCATCTCCTCGTCCTCTTTCCCTGCTGCGCCTCCCTCCACCGCGCAGGTCTCCCCAGACCCCAGATCCTCCTGTCCGCCACCTCCTTCGTCTCCCCCGGGCTCCTCCTTCTGCTCCCACGTCTCTTCCTCTGTGGGCATGTCTGCCTCTGTGCTTCCATTCTCCACTGGAGCTGGAAGCACACATTTTTTACATTTCTAGTTATCTAACTCCGCTGTAATAACCGGCATCGCACCGACAACTTGGGGGCTGCTTTTCATTTGATGGGAGGAACTTTAAAGACGCTGTATGATAGGAATAAAATCAAAAGTGACAACTGACTTATTGCAGATCCTGGGCTTCAGTCAAGCTGATGTACATCTTGCCAGATCTTTTAGCAAACTTAAATCTTTTCAAGCACATTTGCACAAAGATTTCAATCAAACAACTTCAAAGACAGGCCTCACCTCCATTTATCTACATCTCCTGCATAGTCTATTGCTTTAATCCAGCATGCTGTGTAATATGTGCTGCAAGACTTTCTAAATAACCTAAAAAGCACCCTATTGCTACATATCCGTGGTCTGCCCACTTTATAAAGACAAAATCAATGCAATGTTCTGCAACGCAAGCGCGTCAAAAATAAATAAATCAGGAGCAAGAGGACGCTGAAAATGTGCTGTGCCTTGCAGAAGAAGAAGCATCTTCCCTTGGCAACACACAAATAAGCCTCCAGTTTCCGTCACTATGAAATTATGCGGCCCAGCAGTTGAGTACAATGTCTATTTTCTTCTCCACGCCCTTCATTTATAATCAGCTGACTTTGTAGGCTGTCTCGTCAAGCTGTACTTATATTTTGAGACATGTTCGGGGACATCTGAAGGAACAAATGTTGCAGCAACCATCTCCATGAATGTGTCTGCAGGCAATGGGACTAAGGGAGGTGACTGCAGAGCTCGCTCACTTATCTGTCCTCATGTACACTACACGGTCATCTGGTTTTGTGTCCCTGCCTCAGCCACTCTTTGAAAAGCAAAAATGAGTTCCCCATAACTCAAGCAGAGGTGTATGACATCCGGGCAAAAGGCCAAATATGAGGGAAATAAAGCCTCACCAGAACAAAGTTAATATGTTCCTGGTGTAACCAAACACAGTGCACTGACACAGAGCAGGCCGGGGCCTTGGACGGGCAGCTCTTGACACATACGAATCACGGCATGTGCCAGTAGGAGATCTATTTTGGGCAGGAGCGAGTGAGGTTGCACCACATTCTACCTAGGCCCATGCACGTGGGTTTCTACCAATGACAGAAAACCAAATATGGCTCAGTAACTACTTACAAGTAGTGAGCATCCAAGCTTTAAAAACTGCATGAGGTCTGGTGTGATACTTATAACGTGGATGTTAAATCTTGCACACCTGAGCCTGTATCTACCCCCTGAAGCCTGAGCTAGAGCCGTAACTTAACCAAGTGAACATGCAGTGCACTGGAGTACACTGTGGATGCGTACCGACTGTTTCTGACACCTCCATACTGGCAGCTGGATCAGGGGTACCTTAAAGATAAGAAAACAAAAAATACTTTCGTAACTACTCATTAGAAAAGATTGCCCGCGGCTCACATATTCGTTACTACTACGTCATGAATCAGCTATTGCACCACAGCCGCACTTGTGCCGACTTGTTGATGAGTTAGAGGGTATGCTGTGCTGTTCAGCACAGCGAGTTACACACAGGAAGGCTAACTTAGCTGGACTAGCAAGCAAGCTAGCAAGTTAAGCTAACTTCCAGCCAGCTGTCTGGAATTTAACCTACCATCTGAAGCCGGCATTTCCACAGCGCTGGCTTGAAGGAAGCTTGGTACAAACACCGGGGCGTTAACGTTGGGGACAAACGGCTTGGCGTTGACGTTAAGGGCGGCGAAGGCGGTAGGGAGTCCCGCCGCGGCAGCAGGGGCCTCGGCATCCTCTTCCAGCTCCCACGAATCCGGGGCTGTGTCTCTCGTGTCCATCGCTGCTTTTTCCAGAGTTGACAGGCTTCCCACCACCGGGCAAGGCGAATGATTTTTGTGGTTCCGTTTATATGGGTTTAGTTGCTGGTGTGTTTTAGACTCTTAGCAGCACGCTCGGTGAAGTTCCCATTGCTTTGTTAAGCCTTGCCTTGACAAGCATATGGATCCCGTAGCTGACGAGAAGTGGTGCACGGCAGCTGCACGTCCCTCGCACACCGCCAGAGGGCAGCACCGGACACCTGCAAACCCGCTAAGTATACAGTCAGGGTACAATTAGTCTTGCAGCCCCCCCCCCAATGAAACCCAAGTATGAAACATCAGAAAAGGGATTTTTATTCTTTATTAATTTCATAACAATCTCTCAAACAGAAACAACACCACCACCAAATAGTACAATACTATATGTCAGACTTTAATCTTTAACAAATTACACAAGCTTAATGAAGCTATTAATAAATAAATAAATAATATAACTAACAAGTTGAGGGGTTAGCAAGGAACAGTGTTAACATGCAAGTCTCATCTTTTCCATTTATTATACTTCAATTATACTTCAATCTTTGGCATCAGTAACTCCTCCAGCAGAGATGGCAAAGGTTGCCTCATTCTCAGGCATATCAGGACTGGAAGCAAACACGAAGAGACAGATGAGTGTAGAACATTTATCTAAGACTTTTCACGCTTTGCTCACGTTCACATCTTTGTCACTACAGTGTCATATCATGTCGTATACTTGATCCAAGTTATTAATAATTAAACTGATCACTATGAAAATTGCCCTTGAACTGCTAAATACCTGTCAAATATCTTGGCGATTCTCATCTCCCCACGCCCCTTCCTTAAGCTGATGCGTGTGGTGGAAGCGTGGGCCAGGATGTGCCCACCAATTGGCTTCTTGGGATCAGCTTGAAACCTGAAATGGGTGAGAAACTTAAGAACATCTCAGCAGTGTTTCACACGGCGTTTGTATCAGAAAACCTCCTATTTGTAAGCATGAGGGAATCTGCGCTATCTTACGTCATTCCGGCTCCAGGATCAGCTGTCATTTGGTTGGTAATAAACACAGCTACGTTGTACTCTGACAAAAACATAGATCAGAGTCAGTGAAGTTTGAACGCAAGCATCGGTTTAAGAATCGCAATCACCCACAGAGATAGTTGAAGGTTTGTAAATAGTTGCTGTCTCATGAATGCAAACAGACTGCAATCAGTCTGAATGAGGCATTGTCAATGAACACAGACTCAGCTGGTTGTATTCTAGTTACATTCTTATAGACCAAGAAAGCTGCTGAGCTCAAAAGTGAAAGATCAATGTAATATTCTCTTAAGCAGCTTAAGCAGTTGTTAAGCGTGCATCATGGGGTGCCTTGTGACTCCCACCTCTAGGACCTAGCTTCCAGGTTGGAAAAATGAAGCCAAAGTGGAAGTGCTTTAAACCTACAGTGTATATAAGGTCACCAGATGGTGAGAGTTGTAGGTGCAAAAAAACTTCTGGTCCTCATCTGTCAAAATGGAAGATTTTTTGTGGCTAAGGAGTTACAAATCACAAGTCATTGGCCCAATTAGCACACTGTTGCACAGTCAGTTCACAGTCAGTGGAAACACTCATCTCGAAGCTTTGAAAACATTCTGTCTCCATGTTGATGATTGTTTATCCGACATTCCTTATACATAAAAGTTACTATATGAGGAAAATGATCAGGGTGCTATTTCCAGTCAACCACCAGCAACTTCTGTTTCCAACAGTTCGTGTAAAAGATAAGGTGTTAATGGCATAAATATTTATACACAAAAACCGAGAATCCTGATTCAGACCTTCAGAGATTTTCTGCAGCCTTGAAAGCATCTGGGCCAGTTTCTGCTGCCGCTCAGCGAGCTCCCCTCTGCCAGAGAAGTCCACTCTGAACAGAGCCATGATGGAGTCGATAATCTACCAACGACGAGCACACAAGCAGAGTGAAAGGCCAGAGAAACAGGGAAACCCGGTTTCTAGGTG